CTATAACAGAATACCACAGACTGGGTGACTTACAAAAAAACAAATTTCTCACAGTTTTGGAGGCTGGGAAGTCCAAGATCAAGTTGCTGACAGGACAGAGTTAGTACATGGTGAGAGGGCTCTCAGGGGACTCGTGTAGATCTTAATTCCATTCATAGGGGCTCCCGTGTCATGATCTAATCACTTCCCAATTGGCTCCTCCTGCAAATACCATTGGGAATTAGGTTTCAGCATATGAATTCTTGGGGACACATTCAGTACATAGCAGGAATTTTTCCTTTTTCTATGATTACTTAGAAATATATAAGATTCTCTTTCTAAAACTCAGATTTTTCTTTTTTATTTTTTTTCAGACAATTCATATAAAATCCTATAAGGGCAAATATTGCAAGGCAGAGTTTTGCTGAAAACTCATCCTAATGTGTGCATCAGGGAGTATTTTGGGTACTGTAATTGAGAGCCATGTCTCCAAGAGCATAAGACTGCGTTTGAGAATTTCAGATTATCTTATTCTTGAATTAAGCATTAAAATAATGATACCTAGATTACAGTTTCAATTCTGCTACACTGATTTTCTCAGTTTCTGACAGAAGATCCATGGCTTCCTTTGTGGAGGGAAATAACTCCATCAGTAGTCCAGTAGCTGAAAAGGAAAATTATAACCATTGAATCATCAATAATTGCTACCTTCTATGTCCAAAATATTGGTGATTTCATATGGTTCAGCTTAATATCTACCCTGTGTGTGAAAAATGTGATAGATTTTGGTAGTTAGCATGAGAGTTTAAGCGTGAATAGAGATTACACACTATACAGTTCATAGATAAAATAGAATTGCATTGAACAAAGCTCTCAGACTATGAGAATTTTGTTGATATTAATCTGAGATCAGAATTAAGATGTAAGCATAACACATTTATTAACATATGAATATTTAACTGATCACCTCCTGTTAACTAGGCAACAGGAATTTCATGCACTGGTTCCTCATATACTTGGAAATGCAATTAAACCCAATTAGTATTCATCTTACCTCCATTACCTAAATGTATCTATTGAAAGCCTAATATTTATGTAGTATGATCTTAAGTTGTGGAATCCAACAAAGAAAACACACAAAGTTTATTCTAAAGAATAAGGAACCCTCTCAGAATCCTAATTATTCTATATCAATAATTGTAATCTGACTTTTGTCAGACCGGGGAAACTGGGAAGCGGCAGTAAATTTTATCTGAAAAGCTCAAGTAAAAGATGACTGTGTGTAGGAATGCTACTGAGAGCTGTATGGCTTTTCAATGTATAACGTTAAGATGAAGGTGATTGGACAGGGGAACAAGTGTGTTCTGGCATGATGCTGTATCAATCTAGAAAGGACTGATTTTTCTAATTTCCACAAAGATGTCCAATGCGCAAGTGGGGTACATCAAAATGAGAGATAAGGTGGAAAGGCCAGCTAGGTAGCAACTCAAAACTGCAGCTCAAATACCACTTGAAGAGCCAAAAGCTAATTACCTCCATCATTCTGGCAGAAATTCAAACTCCGAGTCTGCAATAATTGGGTTATTTCAGTATATAATTGGAGAACCCAACTCAGCAAGTTACCTAGGAAAAGTTCATTTATAGTCAGAAAACATTGAAGCATACACCATTTTGGTGTATGGAGACTACAGGCCTGGGGTTTGCTCTTTTTAGGTAATTTTATCATTCTTGGCTTCAATTCAATAATCCATTCAATAACTGTGCATTGACTGCTAAATTATACATACAAGACACGTGAATAAAAGCCTCTCTGGTCTTAGAAAGATCCCAAGCTGGTATGGGAGATGTGTATGGAAATCAATAATTATAATACATGCTGAGCTAATCATAAAGCTGTTTCCTGGGTGTTGTTGACATATGAAATGTTTGGGATAATGGGAGGAATCAGCAGGGAAACTGTACAGAAAAGATGGTACTTGAGCGAAGTTATGGTACATAAAACCACTGGAGTTGTATGGCCAGGGTGACATGCTAAACTGGAATTTTACTGAGGGTGACAGCTTATACGACGAATTGCATTTTAGTACCGACTCCAGGCATCTTTCCATTGCTTTTTTAAAGGATCTGCTGGACAGCTGGTTACAACTATAGCTACAGGAACTGAAAATACCAACCTAAAACTGCAGAATAGCTTTGGGATTAATTTGAATTACCATGAACATTTTAGCTTGAATAATTATTTTTTAAGTGTATAAGGGGGAATATACTATGTATTTTTACAAAATTAAGTTAAAAAAATTGAATCCAACACAAAAAATTTATTCTGTAGTCATAAACTAATATGCAATTTTTAGTTTTGTGTGTCAAGACCAGAAAATTGGACATTGTTATGATTATTTCTGTGAAGGTTTTTTGTTGTTTTTTTTTTTTTAATTCTTCATGTGGGTGAACCTCCTCCATTCAGCTGAAGATCTTAACAGAAAAACACAAACAAAAATTTCCTTGGAAGAGTGAATTCTTCCAATAGATGCTTGGACTATAAACTGCAGCTCTTCAGTGACCACAGTAGATTCTGGACCTGTCACAATGAGCTAATTCCTTAAAATAAATCTCACATGGTTGCTTACTACTTTGGAGAATCCCAACACAAAAAGTGAACATTTGTCTGCCCCCCATCACTCCATATATACTTACACAGCAAGACCAGCCTATGGAAGCCGTATGGGAATGGGGCAATCCACTGCTCCTGCCTCAGGACAGGTTTTTCTTAGGTCCCTGAATATTTGTTATGAGAAAACATTCTGGGCCAGCACCAGTGTGATTTGCACCTTCTTCCCATTTCTGTTTTTCCTGGGTAGTACTCTGCTTTCCTCCCTCACCCCAAAGATGTGCACTGTAACTGGCATGTTCAGTTGTGCCAGTGCGACAGTGTGGGTGAGTGCTGGGATGGAATTCCTTGCACCCAAATCAGCTCTAGCCACCAGCAATCCAGAACTGGAATAAGCATGTTGGAAAATAATTATCTTACATGTTTTTATTCATCTTCCTTACCAGTTAACTGCCACACATCCAAAATGGAAACCATCCCAACATGCCACAATACTTTGAATATAAAAAAAAAATCAATTTGCAATGAATATCATAAAAATATATTACAATTTGGGTGTTCTTAAATATTTTCAGTTGAAAATTCTCATGAAAAAAAAAAGTTCTCATGAAAAAATGATTTTAAAGTACTATATATGCTTATGGCGTACAAAGGATAAAATCTATGTATAGCTCACAATTTAAATTTTAATATTAGAAGTGTTTTGAGTCTTTGTAAGTTTGGTGACTTATTTTTTTTTTTACCAGAAATATGCCATTGGAACTCATTTAATGATTTTAGTTTCGTTTTAAGTCACTGCTTAGAAGTCGCAGATCCCAACCTCTAGGCAATATTCAGTGAGGACTTACTATATAATTTCAAATTAACTTAGGAAGACAAATCTAATAAATCAGATGTTTTCTACCTACACCTTGCTGTCCAATATTAGGTTAACTTTTGACTCTTGATGTATTTTAAACCAGAAAACACCATTCATTTAGATTAGAACTCGCCGGAGAATAAAATGTTTTCATATAGCTCATTGCTACTCAAAATAACAAGGTAAACTCTATCCCCAGAGACAACTAAATTTCTAATTTTAAGGGCAAAGATTTGAACCAAGAATTCAGAATTATTTTATGAACCACAAATTTACTTGTTTCTTTTCTCAAAGGTAGAAAGCCTTGCTGTTCTTGATGTTTCATTGAAAAACTCTACAAACAGGATGACAGCTGTTTCATCAATGGATAACAACAAACAAAACAAAAACCAATGACACACAAGTACAGGGAATGGTGGGACAGTCATTTAGATTCAACTGCATCCATTATTTAAATACTTGCCTGATGGTTATTAAAAGGTCTAAGATAGATCCTCACAGAAAAACAAAAATAAAAAATGTAAGGTTCTAACAAGTCAGTTTAATGCTAGGGACATGTAGGAATTCCAATGTTATGATGAATGATGGAAGCAGCTGTTTTGGTCCACGAAGGGATGTGTAGAACCATCTAGAGCAAATTTTCAAGAATCCAGAAATAGACTTTAATGGGAATATTTTTAAAGTATTGGTTTAGAAACATTACCCCCCACCCTTAACTCTAGAAGCCAAACAGATCATCAGTTTCCAGTTTACCTCTGCTTTAAGGTTCTTCTAACACCAGTGGTGTTCCAAAAGTGACCAAATTGAAATTAAAATATTTCGTAGTTACTCTTTTCTTTCTCTAATAGAAATGAAATCGCTACACTTTCTTCATTACTCAAATTCGATTCAAGGGTACAACTACTAATCAGAACTATCTTTTAACCTATTTCTACTAGTCAAAGCACCAGAATTGATAATTATTTCCTATATTCTATCTTATATGCTATTACATTCCATTTCAAATATTGTATTTCTTTTCAGTCTAAACAAGGCGAATACTGACTAGTGGCACATTTATGAAGACAAAAATTGAGTTTTAGGGAATAGTCCTAGAAGAAAATATGAAGCTCTTATACTTATTAATTTGTATACAACACTGGTTTTCCTCATAAGTAACTATCACTGAGGGAGAAAAAACTAATGCAATCTTTCAAAGTAAAGGGAAAGACTAAAAATTTTTTTTCTTTCCCTTTAAATAAAAAAGAAATTAGTTTAGAATTAAGTCAAATTTGTATGTATAACATAAAATGCCAATAAGACCTAGCAATCAAAACTTAAATATCAGATTTTAAGACCAAAAAGCTATATCACATATATTTTTGTCAAGAATCTAATATTGGGATAATACCCAAATGAAAAGGTACACATATGTTCAATTTATCATGTTTTGTATTTCAGAGAAGAGGCATTAAGGATTCATGCCATAAGTTTATTTACAATCACATCTAGTATGTTGAGCTCAACATTTTGATCCATTTTTCAAGGAGATTGCACCTCTTAAAATGCTCCTCTTCATATCTGTGAATAAAAACAAACAAAAAACTAAGTGAAAAATTCCATTCACTTAACAGATATTGTGTAATTTCATCAGTGAATTGTCTGTCCTTCAGCTTATGACTGGTACGGTACATCAGAAAGCGTTTACAGTGTCATGACTTCATTCATACTGATTTGCTTCATCATATGCACCAAATGGCTTGGACAAATAATTTCCCCTCTAAACTATGACAAATAAAGTCTTTATTTTCCAAAGTATATTTTGGAATTTATTTCAATTATTCTACAGAGCTTTCTATAGTGTCATTTTTGAGCAAATTTCTGGTTAAAATAAGCTAAATAAATCTTTTTTTCCCCCTCAGGCAGGAATCCGCTAACCTCCCAGAACACAAGACTCCTCTGGGCATATATTAAATTATATTGCCATCAAGATGGATTAATAATCAGTTTACTAGAACTTTCCTGGTTAGAAAGTGTTGTCTCTGGCTAAAAATCCTGATCCACCATCACTAGCTATGAAACATTGGGCATCTTCTCTCTTTTAATATCTCCAATCAGGTTAATATCAATCATCTACTTCAAGGTCTGCTAGGGAGCCACATGAGGTTATTAATATAAAGTATACCCAACCAACAGCAGTACTAATAAACCTTTGCTTTCAGGGAAAGAAACATTTGTTTCTAGCTTTATCCACTGTCTCCACCGATGCCACATACACACTTAACTTCAGGAGTCAACCCTACACACAAAAACCTATTTGTAATATATAAATACATTTTTTGGAAGAAGAGGTGAAGAACAACAGGAATAAAAGGGAAAGCATTGCTTTGGAAGATTAGAAATCCATTAATTACCTGTATCATGGATTAAACATCCTTATTTTTTAAGCAGCTGGTGTCTCACTATAAAAAAAGGTGCAGCAAATCCTGATCCAAAGTACAAAGTCATCATAGCTAGTAATCGCCACTTGTTTTCCACCGAAAATGGCAAATTCTGTTGGGAAAAGAAAACATGCAATACAAAGAGCTTCAAATCACCTGATTTTATAGATCAACAGTAAGCACACAGAGGACAGACTTTTCGTCTATTTTCCCCAATCTATCATTGCACCCTTTTAAAACATTACCTTCCTATGACCTCCATCATACATAGCACTAGAAAGTAAAAAAAAAAAAAAAAATATGGCTTTGTTGAGCAGTGGGTCTTAAGAACTCAAGTGTAAACTAGTGAACTTTCTCTTTTATTTTTAGAAAATAAAAAAATACTCTCCTAAAGCAGTAGTAGGAACAGTGTGTTGTCTGTCCATTGGCTTATGACTGGCGCATCAGAAAGCGTTTACAGTGTCATGACTTCATTCATACTGATTTGCTTCATCACATGCACCAAAAATCGTTGCACGTTAATGGCTTCGACAAATAGTTCCTCCTGGCTTACTGTTTGTTAAAAACTAGGCACTTGCCAGGACCGGTTTGGCTCAGTGGGCAAAGCGTCGGCCTGCGGACTGAAAGGTCCGGGGTTCGATTCCGGCCAAGGGCACGGACCTTGGTTGCGGGCGCATCCCCGGTGGGGGGTGTGCAGGAGGCGGCTGATCGATGTTTCTCTCTCATCGACGTTTCTCACTCTCTATCCCTCCGTCTCATCCTCTCTGTGAAAAACCAATAAAATATATAACAAACAAACAAAAAACCAGGCACTTACGAAGGCAGGCACCCGTTACGGTAACTGCACTACGAAGCCTGACTTTCCCCTAACCAAGCGGCACCCCCCACACCGCGGCTGGGCCTGCGCCCGCGGGGCCTGGGGGGCGGCCGCCGCTAACCACCGGGTCAGGCCGGTCTCCCTCGAGGCTGACCCGGCCCAACAGTCAGAGAAGATCCGACCCCGACGACAGGCCCGCGCGCTGCCTGCGTGGACCGCGCCGGCCTCACTCCGTGGCCGGTGACCTCCAGGTCGGCCTCACGACGGACACCTCGCCGGCCGACAAGGTCTCCACGGCCCGTCCGGGTGCCGGAGGGCGGGGCCCTGCGCTTCCCCCTGGCCCACGGGGGGCCTGGGATGTGAGACGGTGTCCCAGGCTAAATCCCGGGCGTACCGTCCCCTCTCCACGGCCCAGCGAGCGGCGGGCCCGGCCCCTCCGCACTGACCTTCCCCGGGCCCTCCTCGTAGTGGCTCCTGCGGACCACCGAGGTGGTGAACCTCCGAATGCTCTGGCCCAACATTTCCCTGTTGGGAGGCCCGGCGAAGGCGCAGCAACCGAAGCAGGAGAAATGGCGGTTTCGCCCCGGCGGTTCCTCCACGACCTTGCCCGCTTCCTTCAAGGGCCGAAAGGGGAGATGGGAAATGGGGCGGAGCTCTCCGAAATCGCGTGAAGTGGCGGGCGCCGGGTCTTGTGGGAATTGTAGTTCTAGCCATTGGACTCCGTGTCGAACCCGAAGGATGATGGGGAATGTAGTCCTGTGCCAGTGTCAAGAAAGACCGGAACCCACATTGCCTCCTCTGAGTAGAGATTGATTGGTTCAGACCTGAGTTCTGGACAAGTTTCTTGGCGTCTTATTTCCAGAAAGTTAATTTTAATTTCAATTATTTTTAATCCTCACCTGAGGATATTTTTTCCCAGTGATTTTTAGAGAGTGGGAAGGAGGGGTGAGGAGGTGACAGAACATCTCCTTGAGAGATACGCATTGGTTAGTTGCCTCCTGAATGTGCCCCAATCAGAGCCAGAGACTGACCTGCAACCGAGATATGAATGTACCTGCCCCGGACCAGGAATGGAACTCATGACCCTACACTCTAAACCCTGAGCCAAAACCGGTCAGGGCTCCAGAAATATTTTTACTAAATTAAATTAAGCAGTTTCACCACATGCACTCCAGATTATGAAACAGGAAAACAAACGTCTCCCTTCCCTTGTGTTATGACTGTATAGTACTAGGTGCTTGTGCTTTGCTGTCCTCTACCAGAATTTGAGAGAGATGTGCGTTAAGATCTTCTCTAAGGAAACAAAGCATAAACGCAAGTGACCAGTACAAAGGCTGTTGGAGAGAAAACTGAGTGGGGTGCTAGGGAAAGGATCCCTGAAGATATAGGGAACTGGGTAAGACAGACAGAAGTACCGATGGAGGGCAGAGAAAGCTCAAGGCCAGTGTGAGTATGGCATGTTTCGAGTGTGGAAGTGAAAAGCAGCCTCTGATATCCAGAGCTAATCTGGGCAAAGGGTGAGTGTTCTCCTGCTGAGGGAATCATGGTGATATGGCTCTGGCAGCAGACGGTAGTGGAGGTGCTGCCGGCCCCAATGGGCCCTATGAGAGCAGGACCACGTCGGGATGGTAGAGCAAGTGAGCAGGCGGCACCAGGCCAAGGCGGGTGGGAGTGGGGGCCCAAATGTTCGCTGATTGCCCCGCAGATGGCAACCAGCAGTGGTGGTGGTGGTGGTGGTAGGGGGGCGGGGGAGGCTGCTGCCTGGCTCCCAGTCCCTGAAGGACTGCGTGGTGGGAGGTGGGGTCTGGCCACAACCCATTGCCCCACAGGTGGGATGGTGGAGCAGGTGAGGGGGCAGCACCAGGCCAAGGCAGGGTGCTAGGCAGGGCTGTGAGGCTGGGGGGACAAGGTGGGCCCGATCTCCACAGGCCAATCTGTGGGACCCCACCTGTGTACGAATTCATGCACTGGGCCTCCAGTTCACTTAATATGACTTTATGTTGATCTGAAATTTTGAGTCCCACCTGTGGGTTCCTTGGCAGGGCCAGACTAAATATTTCTCATGCCTTATATGGCCAGAGGTTCCCCACCCCTGATTCAGAAAATCATTTGCCTTGAGACATTTCTCACTATCAACCTATATAATTAGTAATTTCACTGTCATTTATCATAAAAAAGAATGTTTTTGTCAAAGGGCCAAATTGAGCAAAAGAAAAATTTTATATGAGTTTTCATATTACTTCTCTTAATTGTTAATTAGTAACCAATTAATAAATTAGCTAACTAACTGACATGCCCTGAGTTTAAGGGTTATATACTAATATTGATCTCTCAAATTCACTGTGGAGGAAAAGAGAAATGTAAATAAATCTGTTAATATTCCATTTCTGAATAGGCCTTGTGGTAAATTAAATATGGCTATGATTTCTTTGTAACTCTCCCAAATGAAAGTTGGTGTTTTACTTCCTCTTCACCTTAGTGACCTGCTTGGCCAACTGAATGCTGTGGAGTGACATCCTGAAACTTGAGGCTGGTTTGTAAAAAGCATTGCCGTTTCCATTCAGGCAACTGGAAATGTTTTCTTAGGAGAAGTCAGGCACCATGCAGGAGACAACCAGGAATGTGAAGAAGCCCAGGCTAGCCATGTGGAGAAGCCACATGGGTGGTGTAGGGGAGAGGGAGGTAAAGGTAAGAGGAAGGGAGAAATATGCCATGTGCCTGACCAGCCTCAGCTCTTTCTGCCATCCCTCTCAGTCCAGGCATCAGATTTATGAGTAAAGAAGACTTTAGGTGATTCCAGCCACAGTCAAGGTTTGCCTACACCTATATGAGGTGTGGTCAACAAGAACTGCCCAGCTGAACCCACTGGCCTCCAGAACTGGAAGAGGAAATGTTGTTTTAAGCTGCTAAATTTTGGGGTAGTTTGTTATACAGGAATAGAATCCTGGAACAGGCATCATACACAATTTTTTATTCACGTAGCCTAACAATCTAAATTCAGTCATGATAGCTACCAAGAAAAATATGAATTATTCTAGAGAAACTTTTGATTCAGTATGATGATACTCTTTTTCTATAAAATGAATGAATATTAAGAGAAATGAGTCATTTTATGGATTGGTACAAAATCGAAATATGTTTAGGGACATGAGATTTACTCCAAAGTTATATTTTAGAAATAAAATCCAATTATTTTAAGTAGTGAAGTGGGGCATATATCATAGAGTAAACACTGTACTTTCCAGACCCACATGAGTCTTTGGAGACTGAAATTACATTATATAGAACAGTATATCTAAAACTTAAAGCACAATATTTGTCATTTCTTTCATCAGCTACTATATTAGATTTTTAAGAAGTAGGTTAGAGTTTATTTAAAAACAAATTGTTTAGTGAAGAAATTATATATCTCTATCTTACATTGAAAAACTGAAGTTAATAAGTTTCTTACAGTTTTAAGTGTTTATAATGTCCTGCTACTGTAGAGTTAAAGTCAGAACTCCATGCTAACTTTTATTTGGAATTTTACATTGGTAGAAGAAAAAACAAAAACACTTCATTTCAGGAAAAAAGAGTGTATCCACTGAGGCAGATAGGGCTGGAAAATATTCTGCCAGCTTTCAGAATGATTTAGTGATGACCAACTGGAAGAAACTTTTTGCAAAAAAAAGCGCTCGCCTGATTAAGCTGTATATTTTACTTTTCACTTTGTTTCATTAGTTTTAAATACATTTTTTTCTTTAAAAGCATTTCGTGTTTCTAATTCCAACTTTATAGCTTAATTTCAATGTAAGTTTAAGGATCATTCATTTTTTTAGATTAACTCACAGTATAATTATTTCATAGTATGATTATTTGCTATTGGAAATTGTCACACATAGGCAAATATATTTTTACAAGATGAATACAGAAACTAAAATTTCTCAGTTTGAAAATCAATGATTCATGTTACATTTATGTTCTATCTCAATAATGACATAACTTGCAAAGAAACCTCTGAATAGATTTCTTTAAATTCACTATAGTATCTCCTGCTTCTTCTGTAACTAGAATACTAAGTGGTTAAGTAGTTTACTAGTAATTTATTTACTTTAGGGAAACATATAATTTAGTTGAGAACGGGGACTTGGAAAATGAATTTGAGCATCATTCTAAAAACAAATTCTCTATTAGAGTAGAAGTAAGAAAAAACAAGAGATATTTGAGAGTATCATATGCATTACATATGAAGGTTATAAAGAATTGTGTAAATATGCCCAGCTGGCGTGGCTCATTGGTTGAATGACAATTTACTACGAACAAGGACATCACGGTTTGAATCTCCCTCAGGGCACAAGCCCAGGTTGTGGGCTCGATCTCCAGATAGAAATGTGCAGGAGGCAGCCTATCCATGATTCTCTCTCATCATTGATGTTTCTATATCTCTCTCCCTCTCTTCCCCTTCCTCTCAATAAAAATATGTAAAAAAAAAAAAAAAAAAGAATTGTGCAAATAAGACTCTCTGGAAATCTTGATTTATAACTAGACCCATTATTGCTGAGCAATGCATATAAAGCTGCTACTATATTTCTACCATTCAGATGAGATTGCAGAAATCCAATAAAAGGCACTTTGTTCCTCTAGCCAGAGTTTCCCAAAGTGTGCTATGCATACCCCCAGGGGTTCAGGAAGAGTTTGGTGAGGGTATGAGTTGCACGGGAGTTTGGTGGGGATATGCACTGCACCGTGCATGGCTGCGCCTAATTCTACGTTCTTATGAGTAGGAGGGGTACTCAGCATTATGAAAATTCTAGAAGGGGTACACATATGTCTAAAGTTTGGGAAACACTGCTAGACAATGGTCTGGCAACAACCTGGTTAACAGTCCATCAAGATGTGTTTGCTTATGCTATAACAGTTTTTGTATTCTACTTTTTAGTTTGTATTTATTAAGAAAAATGGGATTTACTTGAGAATAACATTTATGAGTTCATCAAATAGTTCTTTTAGACATTCCAACTGATTATACAGTTATTACACAAGGGGGTTCAGTTTAATTTTCAGTTCTCTTTATATTCTTCAATTAAGCTATACCTTACTGAACAGTATTCTAAAACTGTATCATTATCCCTTTAGTTGTGCTCAGGACCTTCTTACCACTTTGTATTAAAGGATTTTATAAATAACAGATGTATGAAACTCATTGCTAGGTTTACTGTGGAGATTTTTTTTCCCTTTGAGGATGTGTTTCAATATATCTCGCGGTATCATTTTTATTAGGGCCTACAAGAGAAATTTGCATCTGTTCTTAGAACTAGAATAAACACATTTTTCCAGGATAGCTGATTTGCTTTCATCTTATGAATACTGTGAATAACAAACTTCATTGTGATTTTTCTCTTGATACTGGTTTCTAGAAAGTTTAGAGACAAATGCATGACCTACCTTCAGTGGAGATAACAAATGTGTTTTGTGTATTTTACTCCTGGATTCCATCTCCTTTTCTAAATTTATTTACCTTTGCTTCACTTTTCTCCCCAAT